GTAATAAGACATGCCACTGTCCATATTTGATTAATGCTGCCAGCTACTGTAAGAGGTATAACTTTATCAAAATAGTGAAACTCTTTCACCCTTCTTATGGCCCTTTCCACATGGACTCTTAAATTATGTATCTGTTTACTGGTTGAAAGTTCTTTCTTTGAAAATTGACCCTTACTTGACAAAAAGGCAGGCATTGCTACTCCACAACCTATTGGCTTTAATAGATCCTCTATAGTAAATCCTTTATCAGCCATTATTTGATCACCTGGCTCAAGTAAATTCAACAAACCTGATTGCTTAACAAGCTCCTTGTCAGAAATACTTCCTTCAAAAAGAGAACTTACATGAATAATTTCCCCAGATGGAGATATTACAACATTGCCTTTGTAAGTTGTGTGGCTCTTATATGATGAATAGCAATTGCTATTCAAAACCATACTAGATGGTGCTTGTACCTTGATCTCTGAGGCATCAATAATACCACGGCATTTAGGATATAACAATTTAAAACACTTAGGCATATGTTTGTCAATTTTTGCCCGAGAGGGCCATATAGGAATGGTTCCCAAAACAAAATAGAGAAAGTTAACCCAAGAAATAAAAACTCTACTCACAGTTGAAATAGAAATATCAAATTCACTGGCTAGTTTCTCATTAAAAGTACCCAGCCTCAGCTTAGTAATGCATAAATAAAACTGATCAAATAAGCTAAGTTTGCATGTCTTGAGAGTGTCTCTCATGTTACTTATATCTTTCCCACTTTTTGCTCGTGCTCTCTGTACTTGGGACCATGAAAACATACTTTCAGCTGTGGGTCTAAGGGCATTGAAGGTACTCACAAAAATAGCAAATGACGAAAAGCCAGTATGGAATCTAACGCGTTTGTCTGACATCCCTTTCAGTTGTCTGTAAAAAGATTGTTTTGAAAGCAGCTGTTCTAATTGTTCGATACGAGCTTGCGCTGCCTCAAGTAGCTCTTCTACAGGCTTTTCGGGTTCAGTAAATAAATAATCATGTAGGTTGACAGTAGGTGTTATGATTGTGGTGTCAGTAGTTACGGTGGAGTCCTCCATGTGGCTGCTAGTATCGATGACATTTTCGTCTACGCTTGAATCTTCGATGGGCCCAATTTCGACTGTGGGAATGTAGAAAATAACATGTTTAGAAATATTTAGGGCGGGCCTAAAGTACGATTTCATAAAAAATAAATACCTGTAGAGGAGATTGGCTGTATATTATCCACGACATCAATCTCGGTTGTGTTAGTACGTGTTGTGCATTCGCGTTTCGTTGGTGACTTTCGTTTCTTTGATAAAGTTGTCCATTCAAAAACGGATGGTACAGCACCATTAACGAGTACACTTTTTCCTGTTAGCGTTTTTTATATCTGTGGGTTTAAAATGATCAGAGCAAACTCTTGTACTGTTGGTTATCTGAAAGATATCGGAAAAAATATAAGGTTTGCTATATAAACAACGCTGAAACGACGCTAAACTGAACTATGATATATAAAAGGCCATTTACCTTGAAGGACCGGCCGACATCACGCTTAATTTTTATAATCCACTGTCTTCTTAAGTCTTTGTCTTTCGGGAATTGATGAAAGGTTATATTAGACTGCACTTTTGATCTATTGTTATTGCACTTAGGAACACAACAGTGATCTTTGTTCCGCATGATCGCTCGAGTGTTCAGTGTGTCAAGAACCACGCGTGACCTCGTTTTCATGCCAAAAAGCATTACGTCATTTTCAAGATGGCGATACCGTGACAAAGGCGAATAAACAACAAAACGAGTTCAACAATTTGGGTACGAGCGACTGGAAATGGCCGAGGGATCTTGGGACCTATATTACTATCCCGCTTCCAGCAGTCGCCATATTTAACGAAGCTACCACTCGAGAGCTGAAGGGCATTTCGTCTGCGCATACATTTACTTACTGACGATCAAGATGTGCACATGCGACAACAAACCTTAAAGGTTAGTCTTAAGATTTTGTATGTGGAGACGATCGTGAGATATTCTTTACGATAATAGAAGGTAGTTTACAATTTGATCTTATTTTACTTCAACTTTGAAATAAAATTGCACGTTCGAGTTGGCCCCTAAGCTTCAAATCACTTTAAATAACGTCGTCTTTTCTTTCTCTTTGTAGTCACATAGAACACAAGGCTTTAAAAAATGTTCCAGCTTCAGGATTGATTCACTCTTACTACGACCTTTAGCAAATTCGTTTTTGGGAGGTTGAGATGGATTTTCCAAGTCATGGTTCACAACTGTCTTTGGCCTTTTTGCTCTCCAAGTCTGTTGTACATGATATGTAGGCATGTGTCTTAACAACGGTTATAGTCTTGCCTCAATCATCTCCGGTTTTACCTCATTTTGTTACTGTGTTTGGGTGAGAATTTTTCTAATTGCCTTTTTGAGCTTGAAGTGCTGACTAGAGGATAAACTTCGGTAGAACTTAGTTATCACATGGGGGTAAAGTTTCCGCACAGCCCCGTACTATTGTAAAACAAATCTGTTTTCACAATGGAAATGTATCGTTTTTGTCATTGTTTTCGATGGCAAAAAATTAAAGAACTGAATGCATAATGTAGAATGGGGCTGTGAGGAAATTTTACCTCACGTGGGCCCCAAATCCCTCACCACTGTCATTCGTTGTTCATATGTTATTCGAAATGAATGACGTCAGCTTCATTCTGTCTTGTTTATTTCAGTAGAATACTTCTGCCATAAGAAATGAATTTTGAGTCGAATAGTACTATGAAACTCGCAGATTAAAATTATCAAACTTTCTGTGGTTCTTAAAATATGAGACGAGTGATGCAACAAATGGATAATCACTCAAGGGGCTGGAATTCCTTGTTTCTTTAGAAGTTAACTACAGTATTTCTGTCATATTTAAAAACGAATTTCACGTTAAAATGTCTTCAAACCAGTTTGACTTGCATTTCACTCTGCCAGAAATGTCGCAATCCTTCAATTTTTATTTCTTAATTGAGACTGATGATAGGAATTAACTTTTATGTTCTCTGCTGTTTAGGGAGATGTGATGTGACCCCACTAGATAGAGTTGATACTATTGACAGAGCGGATAGGTGTGACGTTTACTGAGCCTAGCTAGTATTCAAGAGAATGTAATTAGTACCAGAAGTTTCTGGTATAAATGATCTATCTTTTGTTCTCTCCTTGCAACTTGCCTCAACTAGCTTATGCTATATGCAACTTGTGTCTAAACCTTATTTGCAACTATAAAACTACCAATAAAGTTCTTGAAAGTTTTGTCCAAATTTTATTGGAAAAGAATACAAGGAGTGATCAGGTGAAATATTGTCACGTTCCTTAAGAGTGCTGAGTTTCCAGTGAGAGCTATAAAATTTCTTAAATGACTGATATATGATTTGTCTGCCTTAAAATTGGCACAGCCAAACCCCTGGCCAGAAAATATAAATTTCTTCAAATAGTCATTAAAGCTAATGCTCACTACTGCAGAATTTGCAATTTCATAGTCCCCTTTTGACTTTAGTCTCATTTGTCTAAAATCTGATAGATGTAAATCATCCATTTTGATAAAGAGATCAACAAACCTCTTCAAATTAGTTAATCTGACCTTATTTAGTCCTGTTCTCAGGAAAAAAAAGGCTTTTAAAAGTATTTTGTTTTCTATCCTCACTGTTAAATATCAGTCCTGTTTCTTTGTTGTTTGGCATGTAATAAGAGTCTTTCCAGACCATTGAATTGTCACATAACTCTTGGAATCTAATAGATTGGAGAATAAGGTTGGAAAGAGAGTATATGATTTTGTTGTGCAGTTGAAATGATAAGGGAATATGATTTTATTGGGAAATTATTTAACTATTCATATTACAACTGGAAGCCCAAACTAGTACTTGTTTTAATTCACAATTCCTCCACATCATTAATCATATCTGATGATATTTCCAAGACTAAAGATTAAAAGGATTTTTCTTTTCTCCGTTAAAATCCACAATTATTCATCCATTTCTAACAAGCTCTGTGATCTAAAGCTACCGTATCTGTAGTACTAACGTTGTCTCACTTTTCTTTACTCGAAATTGACCTTTTTTCGTTTTGGTAACTGGCCCCGCCGGTTGCGATTCATGTCAAACAAAAAATTGTGAAACAAAACAAACTTTTGTAAACTTTAATTTTTTACTAAAATTGAAGTACATTGCAATAGCAGTAAAGTTGGAGCTTTAAAAAACGCTCACAGGAAAGTGAGTACTTCAAATGATCAACGATAACTTGAGGTAGCAATGACACGATAAAAGTATACCATCTAATTTATTAGTGTTCTTCGACAAGCCTCTTGCATCCTGCACAAATAACATCGTCTACATCGATTGCCCAAACAATTACAAGACAAGAGTCGAAGTCGTTTGTACAATCCTTTGCTTTTTGAAAATAACTTCCACACATCACACAACAATTTTAAGACTTTGCCACTTTCATCTTAGTTACAGAGGGAAAAGTGACAAGAAAGTTGTCTCAAATACTCGATCCATTATTGTTTTCCGACGTATTTTCCTGCTTCTTTTCTTTCGCGATGCTTGGGCGGAAAACCGACGCAGGCGCATACCAGCGGTTTCTGGCATCAAACTAAAATTTACAGAACATGCGCAACAAAACGCCCCTTTGCTTCACTCTCGTAGACGTAATAACTTGTTCCCAAGAACTCTCGGCTATTTCAAATCGCTCGTACCCCAATTGTTGAACGTGTTTTGCTGTTGAACTTGAAGCTTTATATCGTGTAGATTTTGACGTGGTTCGCAAGGGCTGCAAACTAGGAGAGTTTGTGTTGAAATTGAGTTACTTTGGTTGTTGGATTTAGTGTGTTTGGAGTGTTTTATATTGATATTAGCTGTTGAAGTTGGACAGATTTTATCGTTGACCTTAACAGTAAATGTTGATGTTGGCAGCGATTTAATTTGTTGAATTTTACACCATGACGGCTTCCATATACGGGATCATTCGAAATTGAAGCTTCCGAGGATCCATAACAAAGTATTACGGAAAATATTTATGACAGCGTCGATCGGTACGCTACTTGAATGCAAAGAATCCCTTCATTTACTTCGACGACATTAATACTCATAATGCTGGTGATATTAACCTAGGTTTCTGTAGACAGTTAACGACGTTTGCTAAAGAAAGCTGAAGGCGGTTCATGACCAATTTAAACTCCTACCGTATATAGAGTGAGTTCGCCCATTTCGCTCACTAGCAATTTACATCCTAGAATTATATGTGAAACAATACCAGATTATCATATTTAAGTCTGCGTATTTCATTTACTGCAGATGTCTTAAGTAGGTTGATCATGGAAATATTTTAAAGTCCTGACAAATAGAGTATATCCTGCTTCCAGAAATTTTCAGTATGTACGGCAGTGAATTGGTTTCCGACCCTCCAAGAGAGCCAACATCGTCAATCGCCATTGATTATAATTTTCAACGTATTACCAGCAATGAGAGAGGAATCTGTGAAATACCATTGATAAACGCCGACTTTGCCGATGCAGGATCCTTGATATTTGCGGGCCCTACTGCTTTCAGTCTAAAAAAAAAAAAAGCAATTCCAAGGTGAGGTAGACACGTTCAGAGGGATCACAGAATTTGACTTGTCAGCATCCACGGAAGGAGTGTAAACTTTCTCATAAGAGTCCCTAAGGCTCGGCCGAGAAATTTGAAAAGTCGAACGATTGCTTACTTCACTTAAAATATTTGCTGTTATCAGGCTGGATCGTCTCCCAGAAAGCAATTTCCTATTAATTTTGTATTCACAAAGTTTGTAACTTGTCTGCCCTGCTGCCCAACGATCGTGAACTAGGTCTAAAAATGGTTCGTGAAGCTTACCTCTGGTAAGAGTCGTGCAGCTTACCTCTTTGAAGACAAATAAAGCAATTGGTTTGGACAAAATTAGTGCTAGACTACTCAAGAGCTCTGCTAATACAATCACTCCCTCCATCACTAAGCTGTTGAATCTATCGATTCTTACTGGTAAATTTCCTAAATTGTGGAAATGCTCAAAAATTACAGCCTTGTTTAAATCAGGCGACCGGTCAAGTGCATCGAACTATCGACCTATCTCTATTTTGACACTCAGTAAAATTCTCGAGAAAGCCGTGCATTCCCAGCTGGCACTTGGTTATTAACAACCTTCTCACAAGGAAACAGTTTGGATTCAGGAAGGGGCTCTCTACTGAATCTGCTTTGACATCATTTGCTGATGAAGTCTTATTGAACATGGAACAAGGTAAACTGTGTGGGGCCGTGTTTTTGGATTTAACCAAGGCTTTCGACACTGTGGACCATCGGATTTTGTTACGCAAGCTCTCCAAAATTGGTTTATGTGAGAACTCGCTTCAGTGGTTCCGCTCTTACATTACTGACAGGAAACAGCGTACATGTTGTGGGAATGAGTTGTCTGATGAATTGCCAGTTACCCATGGGGTCCCTCAGGGAAGTATTCTGGGTCCTCTGCTATTTGTCATCTACATTAACGATTTGCCAAGCGTTCTAGATGCCTGTCAAGCATCACTTTATGCAGATGACACGGTGATCTACTGCTATGGGACTTCCTCTCAGGAGCTGACTGAAAAGCTCAACCAAGACCTCCTGGCTGTGGCGAAATGGCTGAATGAACATAAGTTAACACTGAATCTGGACAAAACCAAATGCATGCTTATAGGCAGTAACAAGAAGTTACAGGGGAAAATAGCTCTAACTGTTTCAATCTTTGATCACTGTATAAACAATGTTACTTGTTTTAAATATCTTGGAATCTTAATATCGTCTGATTTTTCGTGGACAAATCATGTCGAATACATGGCAGGGAAAGTTAATCAAAGGCTTGGCCTACTTAGACGCATTAAGCATTTGTTACCGTTTAAGGCGCGCATCCTTTTTTATAAAAGCCTTGTTATGCCCTTATTCGAGTATGCTGATTTAGTTTGGGGAGACAAACATAATGTAACTTTAATGTCTAGTTTGCAAGTGCTTCAAAATAAGGCGGCTAAAATAATATTAGATCGACCACTGTATTCCTCTGCGTCTGATGCGTTAACTACACTGAAGTGGTTAACACTAGAAAAAAGGCGCTTCCAGCGCCGATGCGTACATGTATATAAATGTCTTAATGGTCTCACGCATCACGAACTAACATTAGTCACTCAGCAAGAACAGCATAGTTACAACACAAGAAATAAAGCAAACCTCAAAATTCCATCCGTTAAAAGAAACTGGGGCAAACAAAGAACTGGCTATCATGCTGTAAGTGATTTTAACTCGCTGGACAAAACTATACGAGCCTCTGATAATGTAAATATTTTGAATTCATTGATTTAAGTTTTGTATTACACATAAGATACATTAGTTTTTAGTAGCATCTTTTAGCATTTTTATTCATTGTAAATTTTTAATTTTTAATTTTCGAGGTCCTTTTTGACCACTTTTTAGTGAAAAAGTTTCCTCATTAAAGATTGTCATTATTATTATTAAGAAACTAGATTTCGTCAAAGAGTTGAAGCGCAATTAACTAACACTTACCATAATTTTCCTCGCTGTTGCAAACATCCATCCCAATCAATACGAACTACAAGACTTTTTATCGCCGAAAAATTGATTCAATTTCCTCATGACTATGCTGCTCGATCTTCCCAGGGACCTATTATGTAAATAGCAGACGAATTCTGAGAAAACTGATAGTTCTCCGCCAATCATAGTGTACGGTACACTATTCGACTTTACGACCGGAAATAGAAAGTGATTCTTGGAACTTGGAATGGGCTTAGTCGAACAAAGAAAGCAATGTTTGTTAAGATTGGGTGATTACCATGCTTAAATGTCTATTTCATTGCATCCTAGAATATAAGAATAAGAATTACAATACATATAAGAAGTGAAACTGGCCTCCAATACGTCACAAACCCTCGTTAACAGAACTAAATAAAAATTGAATTGTTTAAAAAGATTCCAATTCACGCGTGAGTAAACATTGAATGAATGTAACATAAGATGGCAGATGTGACCATAGTTTGTGTAACGTAGCGTAATAAAATTATTATCAGCAGTCAATTGTTTTAATCAAAGTCGAGTGAAAATTACGTGTGACCAAGTACTAACAGGCTCACTTGTTCTCCACTGCATAAGAAATTCCAAAACAAGCTTAAAGCAATGTTTGTTTTTCCAAGCGTAATGT